GGCTTCTAGATAATTTACCGTCCGGGCAAATTAAATCAAGCAGCAGATGCCCTTTCCCGTACTTCAGAACCTGTACTCCTCACCATCACTGTGAGAAGCTATGACCTTGAGTGTGAGCTCAAGGCTCTTAACCAAACACACCCAGAATTGGTGGCCCTTCAGAAGTCTCTACATGATCCAGCTATTGAAAACAGGGGATTCACCTTCAGAGATGGACTCTTATTTTTTCGAGGACGTTTGGTTATACCTGTTGATTCTCCATTGCGACAGACCTTGCTTCATGAATTCCATGGTACTACAGTAGGTGGTCATGCAGGTGTTGCTTGCACGTACCACAGAATAGCTTCAAATTTCTACTGGAAGGGCATGAAGAAAGTTTTGCACACCTTCGCCTCCACTTGCCAAATTTGCCAACAGATGAAGGACCAGCATCATTTGCCGGCAGGATTACTACAACCCCTGCCCATCCCTACAATGGTGTTTGAAGATATTGCAATGGATTTCATCACGTGCCTGCCTAGCTCCAAAGGAAAATCCACCATTATGATTGTCGTAGATCGCCTGTGCAAATATGGGCATTTTATCGCCCTGCCTTCTTCATTTACGGCACAATCTGTGGCTGAAGCATTCGTGGTGGGAATCATTCGTCTTCATGGACCCCCACAGTCCATTGTCACTGACCGCGACCCCAGATTCTTACACATGTTTTGGCAAGATCTCAATCGGTTGCAAGGCACTTCGCTAGCAATGAGCACAGCCTATCACCCTCAAAATGATGGACAATCTGAGGCATTAAATAAGTGTGTAGAGCAATATCTCCGTTGCTTTGTGGCGGATACTCCTCACAAATGGGTCGCGATGCTACCATGGGCAGAATACTGGTACAATACTGCATACCAGACTTCAGCAGGGATGACGCCATTCAAGGCTTTGTATGGTAGAGACCCGCCTACTGTTGCACGTTACATAATGGGCAGCAGTCCTAGTGACTTAGTTGAAGCTTATCTAGTAGACAGGGATGAGATCCTTGCACTCCTCAAATCGAACCTTGCTCGGGCGCAAAATCGTATGAAAGCCTTAGCTGACCAGCACCGGCTAGAGCTGACTTACCAGGTAGGGGATTGGGTTTATGTCAAACTCAAGCCCTATTGCCAAAACACTGTTCGTCTTCAGCAACACCCTAAATTGGGCAGGCGCTATTTCAGGCCTTTCAAAATTCTCAAGCGCATTGGAGAGGTCCTACAAGCTTGACTTGCCCGACGCTGCGCGCATTCACCCAGTCTTTCACATCTCCATGCTCAAACGTTGTGTAGGTGAACCAGACCAACATGTCACTCCCTTGTAGCTCACTGATATAGCTGACTTTGGTTCTGAGCCTCCACTGAACCTTGAGGACAAGGTTCTTCAGCAGGAGGGGAGTGTTGTTGTGACCCATATGGCTGACTTGGAGGACACATCACTTGCCAGCAAGGACAGTCATTTGAACAGGCACATGGACAAATACAATTAGCAAGAGAGTGACGCTCTTCAGAGAAGTAAACGCGTGAGAGTGCCATCCAAGAAACTAACTGATTTCATTGTGGAGAAGGGGTGATGATAGCGTGAAGAGGAGCAGGGGTGCGCAGCTTAAGAAGAATACCAGATAGTATAAAAGAATGATTAGTGAATGTAGTATAGAGGCTATTTTGTTATGTTGAGTCTTTATTCTCTCATCTCAGTCGGATTTTCTCTGTTTCCCATCCCTTCTTTCTTCTTTGTTCTCTCACTTTTTGTTACTGTTTTATTGCAATTTTCCCTTAAGGCTTCATTGTGATTCATAGATTGAATCAATACAATCTGCCAGTTCCTATTCTTGTGAGTTAGCAATTCAGTTGTTACAACCTACATCACACCACAAACGTCGAATCTTGAAATAGAGGTATTTCATCACATGGGGAGGAAAAACATATAGCAAAAACATTAGATAATTCAAACACAACAAATGATATTTTCTCGTCACATGGAAAGCGAAACATTACCTGTTGAGTCGAGAATTATTGAATCAAAGTGTTACTTTTATTGGCATATCTTTCTTTTAAATCAAGGAAGATGATCATATTTTCCATGTGTAATAAACTACTGAAGGATACCACCAGAATAATTTTCATCTCTGGCAACTACCTATTCTCCTCTATTGATGTCTTTCCTTTGACAGGTATTGATGAACTGCAAATCTTCTTTTGCTTGCAAGTTTAGGTCCAAACTTAGTAACCATACTAAGAATTTAATCTTAAAGGAAATACTTGATAAATTAGTATACTTTACTGATGCATATAGTTTTTTCTCATGTTTCACTCACATGGTTCAGTCGGAGCTGCTAATTTTATACAACGTGGGATCATCTCCATATGAATTTAGGAATCGGGGAAGGAACGGTGTTGCTCAATTTAAAATTCCACTGGGCCATTCATTAGCTTGATTTAAGAAAATCAAGCAAACTGTAAGAAATGCTTCTGGGCGGGGTTTGAGGAAGGGAGATCAATTTAAGGAAAAAAGGATATATAAAGACTATTATTGGATCCAATTCTCTGCTATAGACCTCAAAGCATCAGATTCCTCCATGACTCTATTAACTCTGTAATTTGCATTGAGCTCCATCTGCACACAACCTACAAAATAAATACACCTCATCTATTAATTCAGTCTAAATAAGATAAGGATAACAAAGAACAAATTTCCTAGAACAATAAACAGAAATCTCATTAGAGCCAAATAAGGCAAAACCATAAGAGTAAGCCGTGCCGCCATTGGCAGAACATAAGCCTCCTTAATCAGAGAGAGAGATTGGTGGCTAGAAAAACAAAACTCAACTTGTCATCAGTTGATCAGTTCCTATATAGATGTATATAATACAAACAATAGGTTCATACATATTATACTTTACAAAATTCCTAAAACGATGAAGAGAATATAATTAGTGTCAAATAAGGCAAAAGTATAACACCCAGCCTTGCCATTGGCGCAACTTAAGCTGGAAAAATCAGAGTGATTCTTGCCATAAAACTAAACTTAGCTTGTCGTAAATTGATCGATTCGTATATCAATGTACTTAATACCTAAGTTGCGCGGACTCTTCAAAATATTGCCGCACCCGTGTCGGATCCTCCAAAAATACATTACTGTTGGAGGATCCGACACGCACCTGGAGACATTTTCGAAGAGTCCGAGCAACATAGCTTAATACAAATAATAGGTATCATTCATGTTATATAATTTGTAATATTGGAAACATTTAACCAATAAAATCTAGTTTCAAGACTGGTCATGTGGGGTTCATGATATTGTGTTACGTTTGTGGTTTTGTTATTATTTACACCTATTCTTGGTGCTTTTTCTTTCTAATAAAATTATTAGCTTTTCAAAATGAAAAAAAAAACACAATTTTAAGCTACAATCAAGACACATAATTTTAACTTTTAAAATATTTCACGATTACAAATTTTAAGAATACTTTACATGAATAGAAAGAGAAAGTTATGATCTGAGTGGTGTTGGACAGATGAGGCTTTGAGATGGCAAGAGAAGCTAGTGATCCATAAACCCATAACTATAGTTGAAATGCAAACTATTAAATATAAAGGCACAAACTTGGATTGTCAATCAATTTCGATAGCAAAATACAGAGTAACTCAACATACACTACAATTTCTTCATTAGTTTCTTAGCGACCTTCAGTAATTTGCTGTGGGCATACCAATTGTCAACGAATACAGATCACTTCCGAAAAACATTTAACCTTTATTGCAGCAGTCAATAAATCTCAAACTTTTTTAAATTCACCACTTTAGAGAGGAAATCTCATCCATGCAAGAGCAGAAACTTCCCAAGCAGGGCTCATTATATCATAAACAACTTACATCAAAATTTGCATTATGGATTTGATCCAAACTTGCTGATCATAAAGATCTTTCGCTGGGAAATTTCGTCAAATACATTGGTGGCATCAAAGTTCTTCTCTTTCCATTACTACTTTTATCCAAGATAAGAATTTTCACAGAGCAGAGAAGAACCACACAGAACTCGAAATCCACATAAAAATGAGAAAATTGAATTTTTTTTGAAATAAATGCAGAAGATGTAGCTTGAGCAAGTAAAGAAAATATAGAGGATGAGTAACAAAAAGAGAAAAAGTTAGCTATGTAACTGAAAAATCGAACGTGAAGAAGACAAAAATTGTCTATGTCGATGAGTGAAGAAATCTAGTGAAGTTCCCAAGTTCCCACCACAGTTCTCGCTCTTTGAAGTCCTAGAAGAAATAACTGTTCATTGACAAAAAACAATATACTTACATGTTTGTTATCTGGGGTTTGGACAGACGCGCGTCTATCTAAAAAAGCCATCCAGTGACCAATAAATGGACCCAAGTTTACAGTACAATATACATTACTTTTTGCACAGCGAGTTACTGATGTGTTCGTCCCACACAACTGTCATTTCTATAATAAAAAGTAATATGGATAGTTATTATTATTACTATTATTTTTTAATCAAACAAGCTAGAGTCTTTTGAAAGCTGCATTGGGTTACTTTACGAATGTACATAGAATGGGACTTGTAGGATCCATGCCTAATCCCCATCAACACTGATGGCTTTTGATATATGTTTTAAAAAAATAACCAACCATATTTGGAATATTAATTAGAAGGACGGGGTAGGCAAATTTTACATAAATGCAACTTTTATTCCTTCATTTCGTTAACTTTGTCCGACTTTTTAATTATCCTTTTACAGATTTTAAAGAAAGCTGTGAAATAACAGATCCAACTTTGCCAATATGGTCAGATATATATACTATCTAGCAAAAGTTAGAATATGGCAAGAACTTCATACTCAGCGAAAGAAACGGTAATTGAAATCTAAATAAAAGTTAATTTTTCATTCACTGAATACTGGAACAGTACTTCTACACAGCTCAACAGAGCATTTAGCACAAGAGTACATAAAAAAAGTTTCATGAAGTTCACAAGCAATCTCTAGCACAAGGGTATAGGTCAAAGTATTGATGGAACCATGCTCTATCAAAAAACCAATCTGCAACAGCTTCCGCAATTGTCTACACAGATAAAACGTTACAACAAAATCTGTTATTAACTCGTAAATTAAAATTACGAATGATAGACACATGATAAATCCAAAAACCAAAAAAGCACATGTATTCTAACACTAAATGGATAAAACAAAAAAAAGATTACCTTATTAAGTACTCTTGGAGAGGTAGCACTGTACCAGTAACTCGTCCATATAATTTGAGAATGAGCGTGACAAGATGTGATGAAGTAACCCCTCGTATAAGAAGGGGTGAGTCCCTCAAATGCCTTCAAGAACTCCACTCCAAAAACTATATATTAAAAGAAGAAAACAAGTGAAACAGATCATTAAATAGAATTAGAGGAGAAAAAGAGCTATTTATGCTTGTGTGATCTGAAAGGTATTAGTTGATCACCAGAAATGGGCTAACCTTGAATAATTATACGCTGGCTAAACGTGCAATTACTTATTAGAACCTTGCAATGATCCCAGGTATGTTGCGGATCGAGGTATGCAGGAACCAAAGTATTATTAATCTGTAAGAAATTGTCTTTTTAGACTTTATAGAAAATAAAAAAAGAAACGAATTAACAAAATTCTTAAAACGAAGAGAATTAGCATTTGTTTCCCTGACCTGCCAAGCGTCATAGTGTGAATTAATAATAAAAAGTGGAGTCTGAACATATGAAATAACATGCTGCGGAAAAAGCACTGCACCATTATTAATAAAAACGAGATTGTTAGAGGGCAACACTTATATAGCATGCAGATAAGGTTTTTATTTCAAAAAAGCTTATAAAAACTCTTACCAGACTTGGTTCCATTGCAGAGGCGCAAGATGGAGGCAAATTCTTAGCCGATCCCTTAAACGAGAGGAAAAATTTATTACTAATATAAAAAGATTCTAACTTCAATATACTTGTTACGCATATATACGTTTTTATAACCCAAAAAGAAAAAGATGAGATGGGACTCACATGTAAAGTTACTACTTTGTGATACATCTCTTGAATGTATGAAGTACCAAAGATTGTCTTCCTGCATAAAATAATCCTAACACGCTTGAGTTCCAAATAGCATACACACATAAATTAATAAGACGAGGAAGAAGAGCTCACGCATTGATGAAGAAGCCTGCGTTTGCAACGCACTTTACTTTGACATCATCGGGAAAGAAGGACTTGAACTTGTCGCAGTTCAAGATTGTAGCCAACCCTCCGGCGTTTTTATTTTTTATTTTGCGTTACTGAAAAGTATAATAATGTATAGTAGGTGTCGTGTAATATATGATCGATCTCACATTTTTAGCATTTTGCATTCCTTTGATCCACAAATCTTCCATAACTGCTTTAAATATTCTCGCCCCTCTATAGAAAAGCTTGTTCTCCTAATATAGATTTGACATTTGCAATCAGAAAGATAAGTTACCGGATAATTCATTGATATTTATGGATATGAGACACTAGTTCTACTTACTGGATCAACTTCTTGGACATCGCCCGTAAAAGATGATCCATCACAGTAACCCACCCTCACCCTGTTCCAGTTGTAAAAGTCTAGCAATTCCAATGTTTGCAGTTAGAAGAAGTGGGTAAAAATCCATGCAAACAAAGAAGAGATAAAAGCAAGATATATAGTGCTAGTACGTATGAACTGAAATATGATAGCTTTACCTGGATTTTGCTGGGGAGTGTTATGAAGTACCCCAGTAAACGTAGAATGTTTGTCCATTTCCGTGGAAGAACCAATTTTTGAAGTTGAACGATTTTGGCACTCAATGATGGTAGAACACCACCCGCCGCCCTAAAGAATATGAAATATCTCCATAGTTAAATGCAGAATAAATTAAATGCTTGAGGACTATATATTTAGCTATGATGAAAATAATTAAATGGAGCACTTAAACAAAAAGAAGAAGAAAAGTTAACTAACATCAAGCATGATAATCCATATAATTAGTTATGATAAATGTAATAAAATAATTAAACAAAACGAAGAAGAAAAGATAATTACTAACATCAAGCATGATAATCCAGTTGGGAAGTCCGCTATCAAATCCTTTATCAAGATAATAAGCGGGTGGGCTCCCATCTAGGCATACTGTTAAACTCAAAAATGAAGTATAATTTAATAAATAAACAATATAATCGATCTCTTTTCTTTTACATCAGGAAGGAAGCATTGTATAGTCAATTAGTAAAAGGTATTTTTACCAGCGCCTTCTGCTATGGCGTTTTCAAGTATGGTGATTTTGACCTTTAGTCCATCTTCGGCGCCGACTAATATTGCTAGCAAAGTTAATACTACTAGAAAGGTTGCCATTTTGAAAACTTGTTCTTCTTAAAGAGAAAGAAAGGAGGTTGTAGCCTAGTTAGAGGGAGAAAGCAAGTAGAGTGTACAAGTAGAGGTGAATCAAAATGGCTTCACTTCACCTCTATTTATACTCAAGTGCACTGTGCTTGACGCTTCTAGGAAGAAAGTCTATTTCAACAAAAAGTTTAAGGAGATGTTTAATTTGTGCTTGAAGACGTCTCATGTCATGCAGTATAATTAAATTATGTGACAATGAAAGGATTCATTTATTAATCAAGACCAGCCAATTTCAGAATACCTATTACGAAGAGAGAGGCTGCAAAATTCCATTTTTTCTTACAGCATACGATTAGATATGGGTTGTGACTGAGCACTATGTATTCCTTCTGAGGAAATTTGTGGTGTTCTATTTTCATCAATGCTCTTTGGAAGAATGCCAGACAAGGTGATAGATTCACGTCTACCCGCTTCCTCACCCACAAATGAGACAGAGCTTTCAAATTAAATAATTTATACTTTGTTTTTGACATGTTTATTTTGAATTCCACACGAAGTAGAGAGTCGGTATATATATATATATATAAAAGCTATGCTTTAACGTTTCTTTGGTATGTTCGTTTTTTTTTCTTATGCTTAAGTACGGACATAAGAATTGTAAAATTCAAAAAAATGGTGAAATCTTTTTCAAGTGAAAATTATATTTAAAATTTAGAGTTGTGTTTGGACATAAATTTCAGTTTGGGTTGTTTTTAAAGTTTTGTGAGTGATTTTATTGAAAATTTTGAAAAACAGTTTTTTGCACTTTTTCAAATTTTCGAAAATTTTCAAAATGCATTTTTAAGTGAAAATTGAAAGTTTTATGAAAAAATACCGATTTCGAAAAAAAAGTAAAATATTTTTAGAAAAATCTTTCATCAAATTTTATGTCCAAACGGGCTCTAAGTTATATTTTTTCGTAAGAAGTAATAGGTGGTGTAGGTACTCTTACTATATATTTCATGGAATTGGATAATGCTTGCTTAATTGTTTACTATTAATTACGCATGGACTCTTTTACATACGTACGTAATCTTTTCTGTTCACAATAAATCATCATACACAGAATATTTTTTGAAATTTTCATTTAAAGCATGTCACATGTTCTGTAGACGTAATTGTTCAGTTCACAATAAATAAGTGCCTAAAAAGCATATATCACATATCATGTGTAGGTCAATTTATGAGTTCTAATCATCTTTTAATGGAAAGGTCATCAATTATTATTCAAAAAGTGAAATATTCTTGAATGACGATATGAAGAGGGCTGATCAATGCCATACTATACGAGTTCCTTTTAAAGATTTTTTTGATAGAAACAAAGATATATTTATAAAATTATAAGTAGTTGTTATAGCTTTACATATGATAGGATGGTCATTATAGTTCCCGTTAAATATCAATATCTAATATAGTAGTATTGGATAGGGTGACCCTGTTATAACATTTTGATGGGACATGTACCTAAAACGTTAATTGATGAAGAAACAAAAATATATATTGGTCATTTAATTTTTATCCTGGCCTAATATTCTTGTCATTATTTACTTCGTTACTATGCATGGATCTCACTAATAAATTGAAAATTGTAGTTCTTCAATTCCATATTTCCAGTAATGTGCAATTGTACAGACACCTCAAATCTGCCACTGCTATTTGTATCATCACACGCCATTTTATCGCCCACAAAAGATATATGTGTTATGGATTGTTGTGGGTTAAAGAGTTTTTCCAATTAAAGTGACAAATTTGAATATGGATTATTTTATTTATTCGCCATTTGGAATTGATTTTTTGGGTGTTCAAAGTCACATTTTATTTGAATCCCTAGCCAAAGGAAGGTTTGACCTTATTATTATTGGTCTGCGAAAATAAAGTCCAGGTAAGGAATTTTGTTGACCGGGGAGAAGGTGTAAGGCATTCCCCGAGTCCCGTGGTTCTAGCACGGTCGCTTTATTGACTACAACTTGGCTTGAATTAATTTTAGATAAACTATGATTTATTGGTTTTCATGTTTTATCTATCCGCTTTTATATTAAAATATGGAATTATCTTTAAAATGAATTATGAATCCATTTTGTTTATTGTGCCAAAATCATGTCACGTGTACGTGTACGCAATTAATAGTATTTTTATTATATTTAAGGTTGTTTCGCCCAAGGTTGCGCGAACGCATACCTTAATTTTAGTTTTGGAGATCGTAATTATGTCATGCGAACGTATACATAATCACGATGATTCAATTAATTAAGAGTACGCCTAAAGCATTCTAGCGCATTCATGATTTGTTTCTTTCCTAAGTTTGAGATCATTGTGAAGGCCATGAATTATAGAATTACTTGTGGAAGAAGTGTATGATTTTAGATATTTGAATAAATAAACCATCATATACTGATACCCTACAACCCAACAATTGAAGCCCAAACTCATTAGGGTCCAAATCTTCCCAACTTTAAAGCAAGTTTGAATATCATATTTCCAAAAACATGATTAAGCATATAGCATTTAAGGACTAACTTACATTATTATTTATAAAGTTTAAAGGCAGATAAATAAAATCACATGAAGTAAGATAAAAAGAACAGAGGGAAGAATAAACCTTTAATGCAAAAATTTCCAATTATAATATCAAACCTAGTGAACGGAACTCCAACGGAACAGGTACAATAACTCAGACGAACGTCGAACAAGCATAAGCGACGAATAATATCAAACCTAGTGAACGGAGCTCCAACGGAATCCTCGACCTCGACTATTGACTCCACTTTTTGGCGTGTAAAAAGGGATGTTATGAAGTATTTTTGTTTGATTTTGGGTGATGACTTGTTGGATTTTTCGAAAGAAAGACGAAGAAAGAATGACACGAGTAGAAATTCTCTTAGCGTAGAAGAAGAAAAATAATTTCTCTCAATTCCCTCCTCCCTTCTTTTTTTTTCTCCTTCTTTTCTCCTTACATTTCTCTTCTATTTATAGAAAAAAAAATCGAAATTGTTTGAGATTTGTTTATTATTATTTTATTATTTTATTATTTTTAATTAAAAAGAATTCCCACTTCCCATTTTTCTTCTTTTTAAAAAAAAATAATTCTCCACTTTTCTTTACATTTATTTTTTAATTTTCCACTTTTTTTTACCTTAATTATTTTTTATTTTCCACTTATTTTACTTTTTTTTTTTTTTTAATTTTCACTTATTTTACTTTTCTTTTTTTAATTTTCACTTATTTTACTTTTCTTTTTTAAATTTCCACTTTCTTTTACTTTTTTAATAAAAAATTTCAGCTACTTTTACTTTTACTTTTTAATTTCATCTTTCTTTTACTTTTGATTTTTTAAAATTTCCACATTCTTTTACTTTTATTTTTTTAAATTTTCCACTTTCTTTTACTCTTTTTAAAAATAATTTCCACCTACTTTTACTTTTAATTTTATATTCCATACTTTTAATTTTCTTATTATTTTATTCCCATCCAAAAATTTTAAAAAATATTTAGTTTTTTCAGTTTTTTAATTTATTTTATTTTAAATTAAAGATAAAAAATAAAAATAATACTAATAGTAATAATTTGACCTTTTAAATTATTTTTAATT